TCCCTGCTCCTCTTAGCTCTTCTTTCTCTCCAAAACCATTTTATAAATTTTATTAACTTTTATGAAAGTACAGGGTTTTTTATATGATACAAAAAGGAAAATAAGTAAAAGAGAGAGGAGAAAGACTTAAAAGTTTAGATTTCATCCAGCTTTTGTTTAGCCATTGCAGGCTTGATGGCTGTGCATTCTGCATCCTGTTTTCATACTGGTTGTGCTTATTTACGGAAAAAAAAAACCAAAACCACAGGCTCTTCTGTCAGGGTGATTCTTTCATCTAGCTGTTAGAATTCTCTCTTCCTATTCATGCAGTAATGTAACAACAGATAATGAGTTACTAGGGATGTGAACATCAGCCTTTTTGAATGTTTGAGTTGCATGTAAGGCTCAGTTTAGCTGTTCAGATATTGAAGGATTTCTGTGATGACGCATGTGATTCCTTACTCTCCCAGGCTATTAAGAGATCTGCCCACTGGTGAAAAATAAATAGATTGGAAATGAAACTTTTCCTATTATTCCTGTTGTACCCATATTACCTATTTTAGTTTGTCTTTTTCTGATCTTATATCTTCAGGACATCCAGGAGCTGGCAGGAGGGGAATGAACCGTGAGGGTGTCCCCGGAAAGAGTCCGGAGGAGATGTACATTCAGCAGAAAGTGAGAGTCCTACTCATGCTGAGGAAGATGGGATCAAATGTAAGATGCACTGTCATAGCTTATGTTTTGTGGCTTTCCATACGTAATCTTGTAGTAACTGGGATAGTGCTTACTGAGAGGGGCAGGTGGTGGTCTGGTTTTATTGCTGAATTGTTTTAGCTGCCATTGATTTAACCATTATCTGCAGTTAAGCACAATTGATTTTTGCTTAAATATTATGAGACTTGTGATGCTTGAAACTAAATCTGAGCATCTGATCATTTCCCTATGTACAGTGAAGTTTTTCATTACTGGAAAACCAGCAAAATAATGCAACTGTTTCAAGGCAGCTTTGAATCTCTCCATGAATGCATGATTTACCAGTTTGCTGCTGCATTCTTGCTGATGGTATAGTTTGCACAAATAACAGATTAAACTGTTGAAGAGTAGAACAGAGCCAACTGTGACTTTTCTTATGGGGAGGTCAGAGATAATATCTTCAGTCTTTCTTCATTTTCCTGTTTGCTGACTGTCTCTTTGTACGTTTCCAGCTGACTGCTAGTGAAGAGGAGTTCTTGCGCACGTACGCAGGTGTAGTGAATAGCCAACTTAGCCAGCTTCCTCAACACTCAATTGATCAGGGTGAGTACTGGATTTGTTTGCCTTGTGTTTATTTCATCTGTGAGAACAGTCTCAGAAAACGCCAAGTTTGGGTTCCTCCGTTTCTGTAATAACATGCAACCTACTTAAACCCATCGTGCCATCTGGGATGTGCAAGTCATTGCCTGCTATAGTCTTTGGAAGAGAACTAGTACTGTTCCAACAGGTGATTTTATTTTAACACGTAAATTCAGTCTTAGATATACCCAAGATTCATCAGGATGAAGAGCGTTGTTAGACATCTTATTCTCCATGGTGACTCAAAACATTGGTGGCCCAAGTCGTGTGAACTGAGTGCATGCATGTAGCTTCCCACTCTGTGTAATACATTAAATAGACATAAATTTTAACCTGGTTGATTTTTTGCTATAGGTGAAGTTAAATTCAGGTATGCATAGATCCCTCTAGTTCTGAGTGTCTTACTGTATTCAGTGCGGATCCTCTGCATAAGACAACTTTCATATAAATTTTTATATTTAGTCTTAAACTGGACTTCTGTGCTTAAAAAGGAACAAGACAGGGTGGCAAGCACTTTGTATGCTTCAAACTGGGAGTTTTGTAACAATAAAATGTGAAGTAGATACAGATTTCTAAAGTACAGAAGCAATTTGTTGTGATAATTGAGTTACTATGACTGCAGTTGTTCGATCACACTTTTCTCGCAAAGTAAAATGGAATCATCTAACAACATCTTTTCCTTGTCACACTTCCATGAACGTGGAGGTGCAAAGTTACTGTTTCAGCAGAGCAAGAGGGAAAGTTTAGCAACAAGAGGAATTTGTTTCTCATTGCATTTTTTCAATTTGCACAACGTTATTAATTCCCAGACAGAGGTTGTAGACGTGAAGTAAGTTTACAAATCTGCTTTGGTTTGCTTAGATTCCCATTAAGGGGATGAAGTACGTGCTGCTTTCCTGATTTCTTTGAAGAAGTGTTGGTGAACAATTGTGTGGCACTACTCTGAATCTACTAATCTCTTCTGAACCTGAATGCTGCTTTTCTGATTTTTTTCCTCCCCTTCATAGGCCTCGTGCCAGATCACATTCGTAATGTAGGATTCGGTATTGAAGGAAAATTGTAAGACTCGTATGCCAGAAAGAACAGAGTTGAGCAGAAATTTAATATAGATCTAAGACATTTAGAAAACCATTAGAAACACAACCTGCACCAACTCGCTCTTCAGATTTAAGCCTGTGTGTTCATTCCTCACATAGCTGGGGGATTGATGGAGGTAGATATACTTGTGTATTTTGGCTCAGAATTCTTAAACTTTTCTGCCAGTCTGAAGTGAAAATTTGCTGGTTTCTTGTTAAAAACTGAGGAAGACATTCAGTTAAGCCTTAGTTGCAGTTGCATTTTCCAGCATTATCCCTGAAGCAGTTTCATTTCTCACAATGAAAATATATGCTGAATTACCTGCACTTTTTGTCTAAACTGTCTGGTTTTATTATCTGTAAAATTGTATTTTCTCACTATGCAGAGGGCTTTGGAGACTAAAAAGATTGAATTTTTACATAACTTTTAAATGTAATCAAGAGAGACCAGCAGTCACTTCATCTGCTTCTAGACTCACTAATCGTGCAATACAGGAAATGTAAGAGCTTCATACATTGTTCAAAAAGTTGTCTTTGTCCCATATTTCAACAGATGCTGATTTCTCTGTCATCGTTTTTTTAAAGTCCATGAAGATTCTTAAAACTTTGTCCATAGGGAAGTGAAGTCCTCCCTGTTGATTCCTCCTTTGATCTAATCTGAGACACTGCTGTCTTTCCTGGGAGATTTGGCCCCACAGTCTGCCTTCGATGCTCCCAAATTATAATTAAGCTGGTGGTCTGACCATTAAGATTTTTCTCAGTAGGGGAAGAGAGAACAGAGAAAGGAAATAGTTAAATATTTAGAGAAGTGGGAAAGGACGTTTGTTCTTTTCATGTTCAGATAGGCCATCTCTCCAAATAAAGTAGTGAATAGCGTGGAGAACAAATGAAAACGAGGAAACCTAGCCAAATACTTTTTCCTTTGGAGAAAGATGAAGCTGTAGTATGCTGTAGAGACATAAGCAACTGTAATTTATTGCTCAGGACTTTGATTCCCTTAGAAATCTCTCCAGGTTTCTAACAGTTATGATAACGTTGTTCTTTGCTCTGAGATGTGGTGTCTGTCTGTACCTTCTTCTGTATCCTGCTGGTGGTGAAACAGAAGGGATCGATTAGGAAATTATTGGAAATAGAGACCACAAATGGCATAGGTGTCCAATTTGCCATTTTAAGGGAGATTCCGTCTCCACTAGGTGGCATTACCTTGCGCTGAAAAGCTGTCCCAAGTCCACACACTGAGGTACTTCAATCTTTCGTGTTCAAGATTGCTTAAAGGAATTTTCTTCGCTACTTTTCTGCTGTTTGCATTGAACCTCCTTTGGAGAATTTTTTTTCCTTACATAACAACTAAAAGGTGCGCTATTAAGGAGTAATTTACAAAGAGTTAGTATTTTAGGGGATTTCACAATCTTTTTGCCAATAGTAGGACAGATTGCTCTCAGCCTAACTTGTCCCAGACCTATCTTTAGAGTCGTTTTCCTCCAGCAGACACACAAAAGACAGAAAGCTGATTTCACACCCCTGTTTGATTCAAGAAAAAAAAAAAAAAAAGGAACTACATTCTTGGCCTTAGCACTCTAAAATTAGTTTTGTTACAGACCTGCAGTTTTTGTGTGTCACTTAAAAATGCTGTACTCTGGCTCCAGAATTACAGGAAGGTTGTTTTGGGTTTTGTTTTCGTTTTTTATTAGTTGGTTGATGTTTTTTTGTTTTGTGGTTTTTGTTTGGTTGGGTTTTTTTTTGTTTGGTTGGGGTTTTTTTTGAGAAGAGTATAGAGGATGGATGGTCTAGAATTTTATAAGTGTATCACAGTCTGTATTACAATTTTTATGCTTTTCTGTGTTGTGCATCCATGAAATACTGTCTTAGAACAGCTGGCTGGTGGCCTCGTAGTAATTACCTGAGGCAGGACTGCTGAGCTTGTCACTTATGGTGCTCACGACTATGGTTTGTGATAAAGATCTGTTAACTTTGAGTCTATTTGTTTGACCACAGGGAGTCACTGCAACCTCTGTGTCCAAGACAGATTTTCAGCAATGTGACAGTGCATTGAAGAAAGTAGTTTACACTTGTCCCTGCTGAATTCAAGTGCTTGCGCCATAAACCTTTAGTGAGCCACTATTAATAACATCTCATTTAAAGTTCCTCCATGATACTCTGCTTGTTGTCTTTTTTTTTTCAGCAGTAGAAGTTAATTGCTAATTTTGATCAAGGAGCATCTTAGAATACCTCTGTAATTTTTAAGCAAGTCTGAAGTCTAAGACTTCCCTTCGATTTGTGCTTATTTTTTATAGGGGAAGCTCTTTATCTTTTTATTTCCCATCTTGCTTTCAAAAGGAATTCGTCACTTCAGATGGACAAAAATCACTGTGTTTTAGGATTGTTTACAGGTCTCCTTTTACATTTGAAAGGTACATTTGGAACACCTTCCCTCCTGAGGCATATCCATTGTATACTGTTTAAGGGAATCTTGTTTTCCTGACAGGAAGCTCAGAGTTATTCTGATTGCATTACTGAAGGTCTTTGTGTAAATCGGGTAATAATGACACATGTCCAGAGCTCTCTGATGTGCTGTAGCAGATCACAAATTGAAATTACTGCAAATCTTTCTAGTATATGTTCTAAACTCTTCATGGCTGCAACAGATATTGGAGCAACAGGTCTGTGAAGGGTTCTTGAATGACCAGGAGACGTACTCCAGTCTTAAAATAATTTAGAATTTTTTTAGTTGTGTTTTTTTTTATTATTCCAGCTCTGTTTGCCCTTTCTTTTCAGTGTATTCCAGAATCTCAGGAAGTGCTTGGTCCCTCGGTGTGTTGACTTTGATACACTTCTCTAGAGGTGCTGTTTCCCTGGCACAGGCTACAGTCCACCAAAAGTAGGGAACGTTTAGGCAATTCAGATGTCTGGATTCTGTTCACAGCTTGATGTTTTAGTTATTTTTATTAATACTCTGGCCTGTTCACCAATTCTCTTCTTGAGCTGATCCAGACAGTTGTTGCTTCCATGACAGTTAAGAGACTTACCTGATGTATTAAAGATACTTCAGTATCCATTGAAAGGGGAACTGCTAGCAGAGACGATGAGATCTCGGTAACCCAGGAAAGCCTCAACAACAGTTATAAAACTCTAAGCTGAAGTATTTCATACGTTAATGTTTAGTCTCTTAATACTAGATTTATGTCACACTTACATTTTTTTAACCATTTTATTTTTTGCTCATCACTGTGATATTGTTAACACCTGTATGAAAATGCGAAGTATAGGGCATTTTTCTTTACTCAAGGACCTTTTTAGCTGACATCTGTGTGTTGTTTGTTGGTTTGTTTTTATGGCTCCAAGAATATCTGAGGAGGCCGAAGGCATCTCTGTTCAACCACTGTATATGCTAGAGAGTGGATGTAATCATGAGCTGTTTTGAGATATTAACCTATTAGTCGTCTTCCCTGCATTGCAGCAAGAACTAACGCAGCTCAAACTCGTTGGGTTTTTTGAGCTTGAAATGGTGAAATTAAGGCTTTCTCACATATTTTTAATACAAGCAAAATGCCTCTCAGGAAGTTATAGGCACTGAAGCATCTCCTGCATAAAACCCATATTTCCTGTTTCCCAGTTACTTACATTCCTAATTGGTAGGCTTTCTTAAGCTTTCTTAAAGTCGCTGCTCTGGCAAATCTGCAAATGGAAGCTGTGCTGCAAGAAAGCTTGATATGTGAATTATAGGAAGACCTTGGTGATTACAGCTCTGTTGTTCCTATAGCAACAGGAGTGTCGTGCTGGCTCTTGAAGAAAGCGGGTCCCTTGGGGAGGGCAAAGCTGAGATGCAAACACATGCCTCAGCTAGGTTAGAGGCATTCTCTGGATGGTAGGGCGTTAAAAATGAACCCA